TACGACTACGACTACGACTACGGACTACGACTACTACTACTACTACTACTACTACTACTACTACTACTACTACTACTTATACTACTACTACTACTACTACTACTACTACTACTACTACTACTACTACTACTACTACTACTACTACTACTACTACTACTACTACTACCACTACTACTACCACTACTGCTACTGCTACTGCTACTGCTACTGCTACTACTGCTACTACCACTCCTACTACTACTACTACTACTACTACTACTACTACTACTACTACTACTACTACTACTACTACTACTACTCCAGAAAATCCACCCCGATAACATCCACCCCAAACGCACCCAGAACCAGAATGCACCCAGAATCCACCCAAACGCCACTTGTATGGTCTGGGTGGTTGTTCCTCCCGTGAAGGAGGGGGAAGGAAAGGAGGACGGCGGGAGGAGGATGGAGGCGGGCGGGAGGGATGAGGACAGAGAAGAAAAAGGCGGAGGAGGAGGAGGAGGATGAGGAGGAGAAGAAGAAGGAGAAGGAGGAGAAGAAGGAGGAGAAGAAGAAGAAGAGAGAGAGAGAGAGGAGGCGATAGATAAAGATATAGAGAGAGGTGGGGAAGGAGGAGGAGGCCGGGAGGGGGAAGGAGGGAAGCGCCGGGGAGGAGGCGGCGGGGGGGCAAAGCGCCGCGCCGGCCGGTCCGGCCCACGGCCTGCACGAACTCCTCGATGTCGACCTGGTCGTTGCCGTCCGTGTCGAGGAGCCTGCCGCGGGCGCGGCGCCCGATGTTCCCGTATCTTCTGGGTTTCTGTTTTCCCCCCCACTTCCCACATTTTCCCATATTTTCTGGGGAGTCGAAGATTAATAGTGTCTGTGTGTTTTGTCCCCTCGCCCACGTACGGTCGTCACCATCACCCGGGGGGATCAGGAGGTTTGGCCCGGGTAACGACCGTGACGCGCCATGGGCTCACTTACACCAAAGAAACCAATCAATGGATGGCTTGATCGATGAGTAGATCAACCGGGAACTCAGGAACCCGGAATTCACCGAAATCGGCCCGGAACCAATGACCAGGAACCCGGGAGCACGGAACCCGGAACCCGGGAACCCAGCCGGCCATGAAAGTGGGCAGGAAACTTTCGCCAAATCGTCCAGTTTCTGCTAGGACCCCTTCATTGCAAGCACTGACGGGGGAAAAGCAATCTCCAAGGACGAGCAGCGGCAACGGTATCTTCTCCTGCCCTGAAGCCCGCCGCCTGGCCTGAAGAACTCCTCGGGGTTCATCTCTATGTCGATGCTCAGCTGCGCGAAGTAGGCCTTGGCGGCGCGCACATAGGGGTAGGGGGAAGGGGGAAAGGCTTCTTAGAAGGAGGCTGCTTCTGTAAAGGCGCCGGCCTTACATCTGTAGGGAAGGCCCGCGCCTTCTAAGGAGCCGGGTTGCTTCTGAGAAGCATTACCTGATCGAGTCACTCAGTTCATGGTAATGACAGGATCTGGGATTTAGAAAAGCGGTCCCAGATTTAGAAAATCCATGTTTCAAATTTCGTATACCGGATTTTGCGGTTTCTAGATGATGTTCTGTCTTGTTTTGGCTCGGCGGTTGAATAAATCCGTCACTCGCTCTAATACATCATCGCGTTTCAACAAAAACTGATTCGAGAACGCGCGCTCCTTCCTTACCATGACCCGTGCTACCCGGTGGTTACCCCCTCCCCGCTGCCCCTCCTCTGCACGTGGCCGAGCCTTGGTGAACGGGTCGTCCACGCCAGCTTTGATCTCCCTGGCGGCGGGGCGCCCAGCGGGCCGCGCCGGGGCCCTCTGGCCACGCAGCCCCGGGGACCGATGGGGATGTGGGGAGACATCCGCACCGCGGCCGAGGACGTAAGACGTGGTCCTCCTCGTCATCACCCTCGCAGTCCTCATTCTCCCCATCATCGCTAGCATCCTCGTCCTCGTCAACCAGTAGCTAACCAACACCACCATCATCATCACCAGCACCCTCATCATCATCATCATCATCATCATCATCATCATCATCATCATCATCATCATCATCATCATCATCATCATCATCATCATCATCATCATCATCAGATCAGCATCAGCATCAGCATCAGCATCAGCATCAGCATCAGCATCATCATCATCATCCATCATCATCATCATCATCATCATCATCATCATCATAATCATCATCATCATCATCATCATCATCATCATCATCATCATCATCATCATCATCATCATCATCATTCATCATCATCATCATCATCATCATCATCCTAATCAGCCTCGTCGTCCTCCTGCAATTCCTTCGTATTCCTGGTCCTCATGCTCCTCCCTCTTCTCCTGCTGTTCCGCCCCCTCCCCCTCCTCCTCCTCCTCCTCCTCCTCCTCCTCCTCCTCCTCGCACTCCTCCTCCTCCTCCTCCTCCTCCTCATCCTCCTCCTCCTCCTCCTCCTCCTCATCCTCCTCCTCCTCCTCCTCCTGCTTGGATCTGGCCCTGGAGCATAGCTCGACCTCTGCCTGGAACCCTCTGGGCACCCAGCACTGCAACACGCACACCACACCCAGGAGTGCCAGCCTTGCCCGGAGCCGCCGGCCCCAAAGTCGGACGCCTCGACCCCCCGCCCCCTGCCGGGGCGGCTCCTCGCCCTGGGCCCTCGCTTCTGAGAGGTCGGAGGAGGAGGAGGAGGAGGAGGAGGGGGAGGAAAACGCACGTCCATAGGTGAGCCCTGGGTTACCGTCTGATGAGCGCCGCATGGCGGATTGAAAGGTGTTGCGCGTAGCTGCCGAGCGGCTGCGGGGCTTCACCAAGCTCGGCACGACATTTATGGAATATACTGTAAGCGAGACTGACTAAATGACCAAACCATGGGCAAGGACCACCTTGAAATCGGTGTCTTGGCATTCCTCATCGGATCCCAGGACAAGCCAGAGGAAAGGAGGAGCGGACGGAATGTACAGACGGGGCAGCGCGATGAGATGTAGAAGGCGGGGGCAAGAGCGGTAATGGAGGAACGAGTCGGGGCAGTCGGGGCAGTCAAATCGACACTGCAAAGAGGTGAGAATCTTGATTCTGTGGCTGGTGATCCACCCCCCGGCCAGAGTCTTGAGACGAGACCAAACTTTACTGGGTTGCGAACTGGCCATAACCTGCCGAAGACGCAGCCACCTGGCTTTGATCTCGTCCTCGGGCAAGGGGCCCAACTGCGGGAACCAAGTGCAGAGCCTTCTGGACAGAAGCTCGTGGAAACGATCCGGGTTTGCACAGACCCCCGTCTCTTGAGCCCCGAATGCTGACCCTCTTCCTCTGCCGGAAGGGGGCGACGAGAGGAGTCGGGAGGGCACGGCGCACGGCGCGAGGGGGTCTGGTAGAGCGGACCCCGCCTCTTGGAGAGGATGCCGTTGCCAGAGGTGTCCATCTGGGTGAAGAGCTCGCGCAGGCACGCCCTCGTGGGACGCGCAAGAACATACTGGTACTATGTGTCCTCCTCGGACGCATGGGTCTGACCCGAACATCTAGTACACAGATCTTATAGTATATCGTTTCCCGAGCGGTACGGCCAAAAAGCGCCCGCCACGACGCATATGCTATGTGATTTCTCGAGGCGCGCGTCGCCCTTGGCGGGGCAACGCACACATAGTGTTCGCGGGATGTGGAGGTGACGCCAACCTCGTGTTGGGAGGCAACTCCTGGGAGGTCTTCGTGAGGGAGAACGAGGGCGGTTAAGCCGGATCGAGGGGCCACTACAGTCATCGGCCTGACCTAAGGAACGATAAATAAGGAACGAAGCCCCATTTTTATCCCAAGGAATAACGCATAGGGAATTATAAATAACAAATAACGCATAAGGAACTGTAACTAACGCGTGCAAGCCTAAGGAACGACCGAGCCTTTGTTGGAAAAGTAGGCGTTCCTTATTCAAGCCGCTCACTGTAAGCTGGATGAAGTCGGGTTTTGCCCTGGGATTGAGCCCGAGTGGGCCGGACTGAGCGGGACTGCGCGGCATCAGGAGGGGTTCAGTGGGATCCGGCAGGCCTTCGACCACGGATGCACCAGCGCCGATGCTGAATTTGACCTCCCTGGAGCTGCATCCTAACTTTAGATCGGGCATGTCCTCCCATACTACAGGCGGATCCTGTAGGAAAAATGTAGAATACCTCCAAAAAGTTAGCCTGGCGAAAGACCCAGACATATGCAGTTGTGAATACCGTTTTTGTGAGCAACGCATTCGGTGGAGCTCCATATGGGGCCACGAAACGCTGCGCTGGGTGTGGCGGGCGCGTGCGCCCCCCCCCCCCACTGGGGCCTTCGGTGGAGCACCCTATGGGGCCGCGAAACGCCGTGCTGGGTGTGGCGGACACACGCGCCCCCCCCAATGGGACCTTCAGTGGAGCTCCCTGAAGGGCCACGAGACGCCGTGCTGGGCGTGGCGGACGCATGCGCCCCCCCCCCCCCCCACACCACCACACACACACACACACACACACTCGGGCTTATATATATATATATATATATATATATGTATGTGTATAAATATATGTATATATAATATGCGCAGGCTGACCGAAGGCGGCCCTCGGCTCCGCAAACTCCCGCCGACGCGCCAGCCAGCAGGAGGCCCTGGCCGTCCACGACCACGAACGCGAGGCCGAGGACGCCGAGGGGGGGGCGCCGCGGCCGCCCGCGCTTAGGGCGGGGCCCGCCGCCGCCCGCGAGGCCCGCGAGGCCGCCGAGCGCGAGCGCGGCGGCCGCCAGGCCGAGCCCCACCGCCGAAGGGTAGGGCGGAGCGGGGCCGAGACCCCCCGAAGGGGCGGCACCCCCGCAAGCGCGAGGACCTAGTGCGGGAGCACCAGGTCCAGCATGCGCTGGACCTCCTCGCGCATCGCCTCCGAGGGCGGAGGCTGCGCGCGGAGCAGGGCGTCGTCGGCGGCCGCCCGCGAGTCCAGGGCCGCCAGCTCGCCGACGGGCAGCGCGGCCCGCACCGCCTCCAGGGGGCCCGCCGCCGCCCCCGCCGCCCCCAGCGCGACCAGAGGGAGCCCCAGGGAAGCCGCCGCCGCCTCGGCAGGCGGGCCGAGGCCCGCGCCTGCCGCCGCCGCCGCCGCACCCGGAGCAGCCGCCTCCGGTAGCGCCCGCCGCCTGCCCCGCCTCCTCCGCGGGCCCCAAGAGGCGCGAGGAGGCAGGCCGTCGGCCCACTCATCGTCCAGGGACCCGCCCATCGCGTCGCCGTCGCCGTCGCAGCCGACCCAGCGGGGCCGACCAGCGGGCCCGTCTCCGCGAAGAGCATCACCCCGACCTTCATTACCAGAAGCGCCAGCCACGCCCGCCGCGCCCGCGGCAGGAGCCTCCGCCCCAGGGGGAGCACCAGCCGCAGCGCGCCGCGCCGCCAGCCACGCCCGCCGCCTGCGACGTCGTTCCTTCTTGGTGTCGTTGGGCTCCCGAGGCGCAGCCGCCACTGCAGGCGCAGGCCGCGCCGCGGCGCCTGCCGCGAAGGCAGCCGCCAACAGCGCGGAGCGCGCCACCGCAGCAACAGTGCGCCGAGGAGCCCCCGCGTCCACGGCACCGCGGACCGCCGCACGCACCAGCAGCGCGAGGCCCTCGGCCGTGCAAGCCCCTCTAGCCGCGCTCAGGCCAGCCATCCCGAGGCGGACGGCCGAGGCGGAGGCGCGGCATGCGACCGCTTGAGCCAAAATGGCTACGGAGCCCCACTGGGGCCTTCGGTGGAACGCCCTATGGGGCCACGAAACGCTGTGCTGGGTGTGGCGGACGCATGCGCCCCCCCCACTGGGGCCTTCGGTGGAGCACCCTATGGGGCCGCGAAACGCCGTGCTGGGTGTGGCGGACACACGCGCCCCCCCCACTGGCTGGGGCTTTCGGTGAAGCTCCCTATGGGGCCACGAACCGCTGTGCTGGGCGTGGCCGACGCATGCGCCCCCCCCCACTGGGGCCTTCGGTGGAGCTCCCTATGGGACCACGAAACGCTGTGCTGGGTGTGGCGGACGCATGCGCCCCCCTCCACTGGGGGACGAAACGCTGTGCTGGGTGTGGCGGACGCATGCGCTCCCCCCCCCACTGGGGCCTTCGGTGGAGCTCCCTATGGGGCCACGAAACGCTGTGCTGGGTGTGGCGGACGCATGCGCCCCCCTCCACTGGGGCTTCGGTGGAGCTCCCTATGGGGCCACAAACGCCGTGCTGGGTGTGGCGGGCGCATGCGCCCCCCCCCCCACTGGCTGGGGCTTTCGGTGAAGCTCCCTATGGGGCCACGAAGCGCTGTGCTGGGTGTGGCGGACGCATGCGCCCCCCCCACTGGGGCCGTCGGTGGAGTTCCCTATGGGGCCACGAAACGCTGTGCTGGGTGTGGCGGACGCATGCGCCCCCCTCCACTGGGGGACGAAAAGCTGTGCTGGGTGTGGCGGACGCATGGGCTCCCCCCCCCCACTTGGGGCCTTCGGTGGAGCTCCCTATGGGGCCACGAAACGCTGTGCTGGGTGCGGACGCATGCGCCCCCCCCCACTGGGGCCTTCGGTGAAGCTCCCTATGGGGCCACGAAACGCCATGCTGGGTGTGGCCGACGCATGCGCCCCCCCCCCCCACGGGGGCCTTCGGTGGAGCTCCCTATGGGGCCACGAAACGCTGTGCTGGGTGTGGCGGACGCATGCGCCCCCCTCCACTGGGGCCTTCGGTGGAGCTCCCGATGGGGCCACGAAACGCTGTGCTGGGTGTGGCGGACGCATGCGGGCTGTGCCACTAGGACCTTCGGTGGAGCTCCCTATGGGGCTACGAAACGTGTGAGAGGTGTGCCGAGAGCAAAGGCAAGGAGGGGGAGGAGGGAGGACGGGGAGGAGGGAGGAGGGAGGAGGGGAGGGGGAGGGAGAAACGGGAGGAGGAAGGAACGCGGGGCGTTGTCTCTGCAAAACGAGGACCCAACACCACAGGATGGTTGGGAACAACAACATTCAAATGTTGTATATAATTGTATATGTACATATATATATATATCATAAGAATGATGATAGTACTAACATTATTAGCTTTAAGTATATTGTTATTACTTCCCAATATATACATATATATATAAGGGCTATAGTTTGCGACATTGTTGAATATCCCCCTGTAGATGGACACGCCCGATTTAATCTTAACTCGTGGAGGCTGGCCAAATGGCCGATGCCGCGTCCAGCCTCGGTCTGCCACCGCTGGCCAGGTCCAACCAAAAACGTGACTTTCAACAGTTCTCATAAGTGGCACCATGAGGCCCTTGCGTCGCATTTGTTCCATTGACAAACGAACAACACACACACACACATATACCCGTTGGAGGGTCGGAGGGACGAGGACTGGCCATGGATATGGGTGCGGGTTGTGAGACCCTGGGGGAGGCTTTCGTTCGAACGGGGACCCCAATCCGACAACACGCACCCATTGCCCCCTTCGGTCCCCCTATGGGTGCTGGTGCGTGTTGCTCGCTCGTCATCAATAATGGGCGGGGGGGGTCCTTTGATGGATCGATCCGGCTCGAAAAACGCCGCTGAAGGATGAGGCGCAAGGCTCTGGTCAAGTCTTTGTTGCGGTCGTGCATTTGTTCGCGACGTCGGGTCTCAGGGTATTCGAACGAGACGGACGAGGCATGCTGGATGTGGTGTTTGCCTGCAGGTCCAGCAGGGGCAGCGGGGGGGGGACGCCACAGAGCGGCCTGCCGCGAGCCAGCTAGAAGCCAGGGAAAGCCAAAACAGCGACCGCAAAGCAAACACAACGGGCGACAAAGTCTGACAAAAGAAAACGGAAGAGAAGAGGGGACGAGAGGGGCAGAGAAGAACAGGGAGGACGATGAAGAGGAAGGGCCATTCACCCCCCGCCCGCTGGAGCCTCTGAAACGGCACACGTAGTAGACTCGGAGTTCAGGGCCGCATGGAGGTCCACCAACAAAAGAAACAAAACTCTTTCGCCACGAAACGACCAGCCTTTTCCTCGGCTTGGGCGTCCCCGGCCGAACGTTGGCAGGACTGGGTTTAGTGGGCCCTGGTTTAGTGATGTGTACACGGGGGCGTCCCTCCGCCCAATTCCACAAACTGGAATTGCCGCCACCCGAAGAAACAACAGCTACGTAAGATCTGGTGTTAGAATTCTGGTGTATTCACGGGGGGCTTCGGGGCCCTGGCTGCATCCGACGTTGGGTCAACTTCAGACCCGCAGGCCGTCAACGACCCGGGATGAAAACCAGCCCCCCTGGAGAGGGGGTGGACAGAATCATCCCAGATCAACGGGGAAACCATCCTGGGGAGGGCTGAACCCTCCCAAGAAAAACGTCGTCGTCGTCGTCGTCGTCGTCGTCCCCCTTGCAGGGGCGGCGGCACCAGCAGCGGGGCCTTCGCAACATCAGGGACAAGGCGGAATCGGAAAAGAGGAAAAAGAAAGAGGGACAAAATGTTATGGATCCCTAAACCGCGCGGTGACAGACCGCGCGGTGACCTCGGAGCCCCAAGAGACCTCACCTCACGGTCCGTCACCGCGCGGTCCTGGGACCCTGGAGGCCCCTGTCGCCCGACGCGTCCTCGGAGAGGGACCCGAGTCCCGAAACCGCGCGGTGACCCCGAATCCCCACCGACTCACCACGCAGCGCGGTCACCACTTCGTTTTTAGGGTCCCCCGAGTCTGGGCCTGCTCCGTTCGCCCCGAGGAGGGCCCCCCCTGGGGCGCACGGTTTCCCCGGGGGCCGCAGGCGACCGGAAGGGGATGAGGATAAGGACGAGGAGGAGAAGGAGGAGATGGAGGACGAGGAGGAGGAGGAGGAGGAGGAGGAGGAGGAGGGAGGAAGAGGAGGAGGAGGAGGACGAGGAGAGGGGGGAGGAGGAGGAGGAGGAGGAGGAGGAGGAGGAGGAGGAGGAGGAGGAGGAGGAGAGGGAGGAGGAGGAGGAGGGGTGGAGGAGGGGGAGGGGATGAGGAGGGGGAGGAGGAGGGGGAGGAGGAGGAGGAGGAGGAGGAGGAGGAGGAGGAGAGGAGGAGGGAGGAGGAGGAGGAGGAGTCCCACCAGCCCTCTGGGCGTCGGTGGTTTAACGAGTTTCCTCTTCCACCCCTCCTTCTTCCCCTTCGGGGAGGGGTTTACCCCTCCCCCTACCCCCTCCCCACTGACCTGGACAGGGGGGGCCGCGGGTAGTTAAAGCGTCCAAGATCGACTCCTGGGAAGGTTAAAATTCGACACCCCTCACGAGGATCGTGGCTCCTGAGGGGGGGGACTGTAATTAGGGAACCCCCCTTCGTTGATCGATCTCCTCCAAGATTGTTCCAAAAGACGTCTTGGACCCCCTCTTGGGCTCTGCGCGCGGGCGGGCGGAGCGCCGCCCGCCCGCCCGCAAGGCACAAGAGCCCACCAAAACGTTCGAAGAAACTTCCAATACGCCACCAGGGAGGAGGAAGAGGCGGAGGAGGAGGAGGAGGAGGAGGAGGAGGAGGAGGAGGAGGAGGAGAGGGAGGAGGAGGAGAGGAGGAGGAGGAGGAGGAGGAGGAGAAGGAGGAAGAGGGGAGGAGAACAGCTGCCGATCATCGGCGCTCTTCGTTCGAGTGCCTGGTGTAAGATGGGCTGGCGGGGATACGCGAAGCGTCAAGAATTTCAACAGGTGCTCGGGCGCGGGCCCGGCTGAAAGGAAAAGAGCCCGAGCATCTCCCCAACAGGGAAGCGCCAGCAGGCAGCGCCAACGGTCCAGGGCCATGCCCCCGTGGCGCGCAAGTACGCGAAACAAGGCACGCAAGGAGACCAGGCTCCGCGCGCCCTGTTCGGAGTAGGGGGCGCCGGAGTCCGTGCTCCGACGCCTAACCTACCCACCACCCAATCAATGGGTGGCCGCTGGCGACGAGAGCAATTTTCTCTCCCCTTGGCCCCCAACAGGCAAACAAGGGTGACGATCGGGCTGCTACCCGCCTGTTTTTGATCTGGGAAGGGGCCCCAATGAGGGAGGAGGAGGAGAAGAAGGAGGAGGAGGAGAAGGAGGAGGACGAGGAGGAGGACGAGGAGGAGGAGGAGGACGACGAGGAGGAGGACGGGTCCCCTGAGCCCTTCGGAGAAACCCTCCATTAGGGGCCCCCGAATCTGGGCCTGCTCCGTTCGCTCCGAGGAGGGCCGTAGGCGACCCGAGGAGGGGGAGGAGGAGGAGGAGGAGGAGGAGGAGGAGGAGGAGGAGGAGGAGGAGAAGGAGGAGGAGAACGAGAAGGAGGAGAAGGAGAACGAGAAGGAGGAGAAGGAGGAGGAGGACGGATCGCCTAAGCCCTTCGGAGAAACCGTCCACGCGCAGGAGAGCCCAGAATTGCGACGCCCCGATGCTTTCCGTGCGGGGCCCCCGAAGTCCCGCCCTTGGTTGGGCCCGTAAACGGCAAGGCCGTTTTTTGCCACCGCCTCCACGGAAGCGGCAAAAAAACAGCGACCAGGAACAGCAAAAAAAAGAAAGCGGCCCCGGGATAGGAACCAGAGCCGGAACCGGTGAAAAAAAAGGCGACGGCACCGGTGGAAAACGGCGTCGGAACCGGCCCAAAAACGGCAAAACGGAACAGGTGAAACATGAGCATCGCTTAACCGATCCCCATCCCCACCAGCGTGGGCTGGGCCCCACTGGCCGATTTACCCCCCTAGGTGGGGATATAGGCCGTTCCCTTCGGGTTTCGAGGGGTGTATCCCCAACTGGGGGGGGTACTTCGGTGGGGGTCTCGAAGGGGATGGGGATGGGGATGGGGATGGGGGTCGGTGAAACGATACTGAAACAACGACCCTGTCGCCCAAGGGTTGTCATTCTTCGACGGTCCTGGGGTCCAGCGAAGACCCCCCACGCGGCCGAGAATGACGAAGAGAACCTTGCGTCCTTGCACGGCGCGAGACGCTCGGTTTTCGGGCCGCAGCTGATGGCACCCCCGGGAACACCATCAGCGAGGCGTAGCTGCCGGAAGGCATCCCGAGGCCTGGAAGCCGCCGAGGATCTGATTTTCCTGACGGATTTCCGACGGCCCGAGACGTCCAAAGAGCCCCCAAAGATCGCCCCAAGATCGCCCCAGAGGCCTCCAAGATGGCCCCAGAACGGCCCAAGAGGCCGCCAAGACCGCCCCAGGAGGGCCCCAAGACGGCCCAAGAGGCCTCCAAGACGCCCAAGATGGCCTGCTAGAAGGCCCTGGAGCACACCAAGAGGGCACCCAGTCGACCCAGAAAGGCCCCCATGACAGCTTCCGACGGGGTCAGACGGGCCAGGAGCCCACCAAGACGGCCCAAGAGGGCTCTAAGATGACCTAAGACGACCCAAGAGGCCCCCAAGAGGTCCCTAACACGGCCCAAGAGGCCTCCAAGAGGGCCTCCAGAAAGGCCCGAAGTGACAAAAATTCGCCGGCCCAACGGGCCAGGGCGTGCTAAGATCTCCGGTAACTGGTTAACAGTATTAACAGTATTTCTAGTTCGCGCGCGCGGGGCGGCCCCTGGGGGTCCCCCGGCGAAAAGTACCCCGACCAACGCCCGGTCGCCGCCCGACCACCAAGTCTACTCAGAGATGGTTTTCCTTCTGGGTGCGGCCTCTCAGGCTCCCCAGAGCGCGCTCAGAGTGCCCCAAGAGGCCCCCAAGACTGCCCAAGAGGCCCCCGAGACGCCCAAAGAGCGCTCGAAGACGCCGAAGATGACCCCAAGACGGCCCAAAAGGCCCCCAAGACAGCCCAAGAGGCCTCCAAGACGCCCCAAGAGCCTTCCAAGAGGCCTCCGAAGAGAGCCCCAAGAGGCCAAAATCGTTGATTTTCATTGTTTTTTTCGATGTTTTTTGTGTTCTGGCTTTTTCGGCTTCCGGACGCTCCAAGACGGCCCAAGAGGCCCCCAAGACCGCTCCAAGACGGCCCACGAAGCTCCCAAGACGGCGCCGAAACGACCCAAGAGAGCCCTCAAGACGGCCCAAGTGCCGCCCAAGACGGACCAAGAGGCCCCAAGACGGGCCCAAGAGGGACTCAGGAGGGATACCGAGAACTCAAAAATGGAGCCCTCCGTCCCAGAAGGCGCCCAGGAGGTCCCAAAGAGGCCCCAAGAGGCCTCCAAGAGGCCCCAAGATGTCGCCAAGAGGCCCCAGGAGACTCCCAGGAGGCCCAAAAGAAGCCCCAGAAGGCTTCAAACATGTCTCCCAGGCGCCCCCGAACGGCCTCTCAACAGACCCCAAGAGGCCCCCCAAAGAAGCATCTTGACGACGACTCTATTTCGCCCCATCGAGAGACGACCCCCAGGGAACTGCTTCACCATCAAAACTCCCCACGCAACGCGTCCGAACGACACCCGCCCCCAAGAGCGCAACATGGGCAACGAACACACAGACAAAAACCAGCGATGCCATATCACGGGCCGGCGGAATGAGCGAAGCGATTCAATAATTGATGTTCCTTAGGAGTTTGATGGATTTTGTCATATGCGCCTTTTCGGTTTTCAGACGCCCCAAGACGGCCAAAGAGACCCAAAAGATCGCCCAAGAGGCCTCCAGGATGGACCCAGAACGGCCCAAGAGGCCGCCAAGACGGCCCAAGAGGGCCCTCAGACGGCCCAAGAGGCCTCCAAGACGCCCAAGATGGCCTCCAAGACGGCTCTGGAGCACCCAAAGAGGGCCCAAAATCAGCCCAGAGAGGCCCCCAAATCGGCCCAGAGTCCCCCAAGACGGTTTCCGACAGCATCAAACGGGCCAGGAATGCCCAGAGACGGCCAGAGAGGCCCCCGAGAAGGCCCCAAAGGTCCCCAAGAGGCCCAAGGACCCCAAGATGCCTTAAAGAGGCTCCCAGGAAGCTTCCAGGAGGCCCCAAGAGTGCCCCAGAGGCTCCCAAGATGCCCCCTCCTCCTCCTCCTTCTCCTCCTCCTCCCCCTCCTCCTCCTCCTCCTCCTCCTCCTCCTCCTCCTCTCCTCCTCCACATCCTCCTCCTTCTCCTCCTCCTCCTCCGTCTCCTCCTCCTCCTCCTCCTCCTCCTCCTGATCTTCCCCGCCACCCTGCCCCAAGTGTTCCCTGAATGGTTTCCACAAAAGTTGGGGGATCACAGGGTCCGATAGCTTGGCAGAGCTCTTGCCACAACGCTCAGCCACATGAGCGATTTCAAAAGGCAGGGGACGGCGATGATTCACAGTAGGCGTCTTCGATAACGCCACCGTCTCAATATGCGCTGATGATTTCTATCTGCCCCCGCACGATGTTCCCAGATGCGCCAAGGCAGCGCCGAGACGCACCGACGCGACCCACTCTGGTATATCCCATTATGATAGAGAGGGGGCCGGCGGCAAGGGGCGAAACCCTTACGGATAATAGTAGTCGTAATGGCACTGTTAATACCAATAGTAGTGTTACTGCTGCAACATTACTGCTAGTGTCAACCCCATTGCCATTCCTGATAGAATATTAGTATGATTAGTAATGATGACCCCAAATATTAATTACAGTGCTGCCAGTACTACTAGTATGCGTATGGTTATTGTTACTCGTCTTAGCAATACTACAACATGTGTTCTTACTCGTATTATTCGCTGTAAAATTCGTCGTCTGCTTCTTGTTATTATCCCGGCTATGATTGTTCGATGTATTGTTATGAGTGTTCTTCTGGTGACGGTGACCTCTGATGACCCCCGACTCGGGACAGTCCTCGTGGACTCGTGGTCGGAGTGAGCCCCCTCCACAATGAGGTGCGGGTCCCACTGGTAGAAGTCCTGGGCCTCCAGCACGTGCGAGCGCACTGGGACTCTTCCCTCCCCTCTCACCGACGCCGTCCCCCTCCCCCCGGCTGGTGCTGATCCAGGATTGTCCATCCTCATCCTGCTCATGGATCCTTTTCCTCCTGATCCTCCTCCTCCTCCTCCTCCTCCTCCTCCTCCTCCTCCTCCTCCCCCAACTGCTCCTCCTCCTCCTGCTCCTCCTCCTCCCTTTGATACCCTGTTAACGTATTTGGATACCGCCACCACCTGCCCCCGTTGAGCTACATCGCCACCACTATCATCATCATCATCATCATCATCATCATCATCATCATCATCATCATCATCATCAGCAGCAGCAGCAGCAGCAGCATCAGTATCATCATCATCATCATCATCATCATCATCATCAGCACAATCATCATCAGCAGCATCATCATCAGCACCATCGCCATCATTATCATCATCATCACCACCACCACCATCATCATCATCATCATCCTCATCATCATCATCATCAGCAGCATCATCATCATCATCATCATCATCATCATCAGCAGCACCATCATCGTCAATATTATCATCGCCAATATTAGCAGCACTCTCGCCGTCATCAGTACCAGAAGCATCAGCAGCAGCAGAGCCATCACGCCAATCAGCATCGTCACCGCAACCGCCACCTGCCCTTCAACAGAGCACAGCGACAAGCAGCAAGCCTCGCTCCATGCACAGCCGAGGGGCGAAAAGGGGGAGAGCGGCGCGCTGCAGTGGCGCCGGGCGGGCCCGCTCTGGGGGAAAGACGATGAGCTCAGAACCGAGCGCGAGGAGGCGCACCGCACAGATCGGCGAGGCGCTGCTCCGGGCTCCGCTAAAGAATGGCGGCTCGATGCCACGGCCTTCCAGCAGTCCGCTCTGCCGTGACATCCGCCGCCGCGCCGCCCTTGAGGCACGAGCTGGCCTGCCCCGAGGTCCCCTGCTGGACCCCCTGGAGCCGGTCGTCAGTCGGGAGCGGCCCAGAGAGGGGTGTCCCAGAGGGGGGGGTGCAAATCATGACCGGCGGCATGTGCGCGGCCCAGCGGGGGGGCCAGGGACGTAATGAAATAAGAAGAGGCGCCATGAAATCTGGGGAAATATCATGGCCCCCGCCATGATATCCACCCCCCCCTAGTCATCACCCCCCTCTTTTCCGCCCCCGATTCAGTCCTGAGGATGCTTCTCGAGGGGCCCGGGCCCGAACCTTGCCACATCGGCTCGGGCGCGTCGCGGGGCCCCCGGGGCGCGTTGCATGGCCCTTGGGGCGGGGCGTCATCTCGCATACAACAGTTGCGGGCCCAATGCGGGCCCAAAGACGGACCAGGCAAGAGGGCCGCAAGAGGTCCCAAGACGGTCCAGGAGGGCCCCGAACCACCGCAGGGTCGGTTCAAGACGCCCAATATGACTTCCAATCAGCCGAAAATGTACCCAAGACGCCCCAAGGGGCCTCCAAGAGCCTCCCCCCAGCTGGCCCCGAGAGGCAAAAATCATAGATGGTCCGCACGTGTTTGAAAGGATTTTGGCGCTCTTGCCTTTTCGGCTTCCCGACGCTCCAAGGCGTCCCAAGACGCCCCAAAGATCGCTCCAAGACGGCCCTACTAGAGGCTGCCAAGAGGGCCCCAAAGCGGCCAAAGAGGGCGCCGAGACGGCCCGAGAGGCATCCAAGACGGCTCGAGAGGGTCCCAAAATGACTCCAAGAGGTCGCCCCGACTTGGGAACCGAACAGACACGTCAAGTCCTCGGCCCCGCGAGGCCCCCAAGAGCCCCCGAGGCCGCCGAGAGGCCCGAGAGGTCCCACTCCCCCCAAGAGGCCCCCAGGAAGCCCCGAGAGGCCCCCAAGGGGGCCCCCGAGAGGCTCCCAAGAGGCCCCCGAGACCACGCATCCCTGATGACTCTGACCCATAACCTTGGCACGGTGGCGAGGTTGGGCCGAAGGCCATCAGATAACCCGCACATCTCGGCAAGTGCGGAGGCCTGGCCAGTGCCAGGTATGGCACGTGAGGGTGCAACAGTTACTTTGACTCGCGGTGTTGAAGTCCCAGGTATGGCATTTTGGCACGATCCAGGACCGCCAAGACGCAATAGTCAGGTTGACCGGTGATGTTGGAGTCCCGATAATAATGTTGTGACACGCTGCAGGCTCTTCAAACGGTTGTCTTCCAACGAGGCAGGTTCCCACAGTGGAAATGAACCCTGCTAGGGGCCTACGGAGAGGGAGCTTGGAGGGAGGGTTGATTCCAACGTCGTTGATGCCTCTTGGGTTGACACTGATCCTCCTCCTCCTCCTCATCCTCCTCCTGCCCTCCTGCTCCTCTGCCTAACATGCTGTTTCCCAAGACGTTGACAGCCGCCATGCTGCCGCAGCTCGCGCCGCTCCAGCGAGGCCTGGCGGCGACGGGGCGCCCGGGCGCGGGGGCCCGGCCTGTCTGGCGAAGACGCCCACCGTGATGTTGACGAGCCCCAGCGTGATCAGTATGACCCACATGAGGTACAGCTGGGCGGCCGCATCACTCACACTCTCTCTCTCTCTCTCTGTTGCCGTCGCCCTCCCTCGAGCCACCATCGGAAGACTGCCCGCCCTCCTCGCCCGCGACGTCTCCCCCCCCGCGTCACGCCCCTGCTGCTGCGCCTGCTGCGGGCGAACCATCTCGCGCCGCGTCCGCCTCCAAGATGGCGCCCGGCCAAGCAGGAGAGGGTCCAGGGTGATCAGCATGTAGCTGAGGGGAGGAACAGCTGGGTTAGCTGAGGGTGAGCTGAGGCTGCAGTGTGACCCATATAATGAACCACATAAGGTACTGCTGGGCGGGCCAAGCAGGCGATGGGAGGCTAGGTCAGGAACCCAGACATGCAACATCCTGGAAAAGTCGGGACGGAGGTTTTTCTTACGTTTCAGCAACTGGCTTGCCCTTACCGGGCCCCGGGTCCGTCCAAAACAAAAACTCGGGATGAAAAACTGGCCCCGGGGAAAAACTAACCCTGGGGAAATGGTCGCGGCTCCTAGGGAGCGCGCATTGACAAAATCAGGGCAACGCATGTCTGAGAGCGCAACTCCTGGAAGGTCTTCGTGGGAACAATTCGGGCCAATGAAGTAAGCCGGATGAGCGGACCGTTGGGCCGGATGATGCCAAATGAAGCCCAGGGTTGAGGTCGGCGATGCGTCGCGACCCTCCGATCTCCCATCTGCGTCCGCCCCACCTGGGAGGCCTGTGGGCAGCCTGAAGGCGAGGCGAGGCGAAGCGGTCGCCAACCTACTTGCGAAAGGACGGCCCCACGAGAGCACGGCGGTGGGGCTGGAGCCCCGGAGGCACTTTGGATCCCCGCATGGCTCCTGAGCGTGAAAGCTCGCGGAGGAGGAGGACAAGCAAAGACGACGACGACGACGACGAACGAGGCCCGAAGGACTGCCACGGCTCCCGCCGGATCGAGCCGGATCCGTCCAGCTCCCAAGCGGGCCGGGCACCGCGACGCTCGGCCTCCTGCACCAAGAGGTCGGCCCGCGGGACGGCCCCACGAGGGGCGCAGCAGGGCGCTGGCACCCCTGCGCCGGCAGCTGCAGGGCCGCGAGGGGGTCCCGCCCGGGAGGCGGAGGGCGTGGAGGGGCAGGGGAGCGAGGGCCACGGCCGAGGCGGCACGCGGACACGTCGGCCTCGGTCCTGGTCCTCGTCCATCGTGGTCATCGTCAGCGCGTGGGCGTCCTCGCGGATCGGCGACGGTCGGCACGCACCATGACCAAGGTCGGCGGCGACAGGATCCCGCGGAATCTTGTTAGGAAGCAACTCACGAAAGCTTCCAGTCGTGGAAGCAACTCACGAAAGCTTCCAGTCGTGCCCCTGGAGCCCAGGGCAGTGCGCCCAATCGCGCGCAGAGCGGACATCATGCATCTCCCTCGCCTGGCGCTGTTGGGCGCTGTTGGTCGCTAGTGGGCCCTAGGTTTCGGTCGGGCATGTCCCCCCACAGGCGGCTCTTGGACGAAAAATACACCAGTAGACAACAGATGCTCAAAGATTGCCAACAACATAGTCGAAGAATCGTCCCCAGACTATGCTTTGACTATTCTCCTAAAGATTCCCCCTGTCGAGCCTCGACAGGGGGAACATTTAAGCATAGTCGGGCCTGCCCCGCGACGAGGGACAGGAGGAGGAGGAGGAGGAGGAAGAAGAGTAGGAAGAAGAGGGAAGGAGGAGGACAATGAGGAGGAGGAGGAGGAGAACGAGGAGGAGGAGGATGGTCTGGGGATTTCGACGCTTTAACAATCGAAAAAGAATCGTCCTCAGACGATGTTTTGCCTATTCTTCACCCTTCCCCATTCTGGAGGGACAGGCCCGGCCGGAGCCCTGGGCGAGCTCCGGTGGACGCCGCCGCTGCGGCACGCCGTGCCGCGCGCGCTGCCGGGCGCGGCTCGCCGAGAGCGGCCCGCGCCCACGGCGAGGGGAGGGCCACGCGCAAGCTGCTCGCAGGGAGCCCACAGAGGGACGTACGCGCCCAGCTGTGTACGTGAACACGGCCCCTCGATCCGCGAGACCAGCCGCGTTATACGAACATCTGCGCATCGCGCACAGTGAACACGTACAGTGAGGACGCGTGGTGAGGACGCAAGACCCTTGGAGGCCGAAGTTGAAGCATTCTGGGCGACAGGCGGCCAAACCCCCCGGGAACCTGAGAAACTGGCCTGCGATAGTTGCGAGGGACGGGCCGCAGAGGCTGAGGCAGGCAAGGACCCAAGGGCACCCTTGAAAAAGTCGTTTGTCTTTACTATGCGCGTTGAGATGTACTCTCGAAACCAGCGTGGATTCATGTACGTGCACGTCCTTCTTTGTCGCTCCGGAACGCGGCGCGCGACTGCCCCCCTGCAGGGTGGGCCGGGGTTCCGAGGCCCCCGTTCGGGGAGACGCAAGACTGGGTTGGGCGTGTCCCCCATACAGGCGGGCTGTGGGGGAAAAGGTAGAAGTCACCCCCCCCAAAAAAAAACAAAAAACTCCAAAATGGTAGCAAAATCGTCCCCGTAGTATTTTTTGCCTATTGTTGAATATTCCTCATGTAAGAGGGACAGGCTCGGCTTCATCGCAAAACTCGGGTGCGGGGGACTCGGCTTGGCCTGACGGGCGCCATCACAAAAATGACGATGGCCCAATCCGAAATTTAACGCGAGCTCCCGCTGCAGACGTCCCACGAAAACCGGACCGTCAAAATCCGGGGCGCGCTCGCCAAAAAGCGTCGGCAAATCAGAATGCCGGCTCGCTCGAGTCTTACGTCTCCCCGATTCCTAAAAGGAGGCTGTTCCTGTAGATGGCGCCGGCCTTACATCTGTAGGTTAGGCCCGCGCATTCTAAGAAGCAGGGGCGCTTCTGAGAAGCCCTCCCCCCTCCCCGCTGCCCCCCTCTGCGCGCGGCTGACCTCCGGCGACCCCGGCGCGGAGGAAGGCCGCCGACGGGCGCCGCGGGGCCCGGACGGACGGCGCCCCCCTGCTCTCGCCGCCCGAGGCGATCGAGTCGAGGTCGGCGGAAGGAGCCCCGCGAGGACGGAGAGGGCACAGGCGAGGATCGGTCAGCATCGAATCTACGCCACCAATATATGTGCTTACGTATATGCATGTGTATATCTGTATATATACATATATATATATATAGAGAGAGAGAGAGATACACACAGACACCTTCCGACGGATTTTGCATGTGCCTCCCTGTGTTGGAAAGTCGTTGGTTCTGGGTGGTGATTCATACACACACCGCCACCCTCCCCTGGGGCCCAGGGACAATCCCATGGAGGGAGTCTGTGTAGTTATAAATTTGGCGTGCATCTGGGAATTTCATCGAATCGAAACGTGCATCGGATCGGTTTGCTTCGGCACGGAATCGGAGAGGCGGATCGGCTAGGCCAGGATCGGATGTGCTGCATCGGATCGAAGCGGATCCACTGCGCCATGATGCTCGACAACACGATATCAGAGAGAGCGCGTTTCACGGGCGCTTGCCTTGGGAGCATTCGGCGGCGCATTTCGAACCGGGGCGGGGGCCCCCCACCCCAACACTCGGCGCCGCGAATCAAAACAAGGGGGAATCCCCTCCCGCCCAAGCCCACCCTTCCCGAACCTCCAACCTCTCCCAAAGGGTGGGGAGGGGGTTCAACCCCCCCCCTTCGGCGCCAGCGCTGGCGGCCGCCAGCAGCGCCGACGGCGGGGACGCAGCGACGATGACCAGAGGCAGCCCAGGGGGGTGGGGGGTTCAAACCCCCCCCAGTGGCGCCGGCGCTGGCGCTTGCGCTGGCGGCGGTCAGCAGCGCTGGCGCTGGCGCCAGCAACGGCGGGGACGCAACGACGATTACCACCACTACCACCACCACCACCACTACCACCACCACCACCGCCTCAACCCACCACCACCACCAACAACAACCCACCACACAACAACAACAACCACCACCACCACCACCACAGCCACCACCACCACCACCACCACAACCACCACCACCACCACAACTCATCATCACCACCCCCACAACAAAAAAAAACACTACCCACCACCACCACAATCTACCGCACCACCACCACCACCGCCACAACCACCACCACTACCAGCAGCACCACCAACCACCACCCACCACCACCATAAACTACGACACCACCACCACAACCACCGCCACCACCACCACCACCACCAGCACCACCTCCACAAACCACCGCCACCACCAAAACCCACCACCACCAAACCATAACCACCACCACCACCACCACCCACCACAACCACCACAACCACCACAACAACAAACCACCACACCATCACCATCACAACCACCACCACCGCCACCACCACCACCACAACACACTACCACCACCACCATCACCACCACCACCACCACCACCACCGTCGTCCTCGTCGACGCTCCCCGCCGCCGTCGCCCGCCGCCGCAGGCGCCGGCGCTGGCCTAGAAAAAGGAATCGTCGTCCCCGCCGCCGCCGCCAGCCGCCGCCGATGAAGGCGCCAGCCCGAGGAGAGAGGAGAGGGGGGGAAGGGGGGGGTCGAACCCCCCCCCCTCCGTCACGGGAGGGGGGGACGGGGGGGTCGAACCCCCCCCCCTCCATGCAGGGCGGTTCCACCCCCCCCCCTCCAAGCGACCACAGAACGCGCTCTTTCCGATATCAAGATCGGGCCGCATCGGATCAATATCGTAATCGAATTGGGGTGGGCCAGCTGGAATCGACATCGACCCGGATCGATGGGATCGAAATGGACGAGGCAAGCAAGGTGCAGAAAGCGAGGCGGGAATCTATCCACATCCGCCGCCTGGAACCGACGTATCGGCACCCTGCGGGGCGGCGGGTATGGATCTGTTTGCGCCCCAAGTGGGGAGGGGGGGGGGCGAACGTATCCGCACCCACCGCCTGCCGAGGTCCCCGAAGGTCGAACCTCCAGGCGGCGAGGATGGATAAATCTCCCCGCCGCATATGGGAGAGGGCGGCGGGGGCACCAGGCAGTGCACCGGGTTGATCATGTAGAAGGGCAGCGCCAGCGAGGCCCAGTCGGCGCCCCCCGTGACGGAGTACAGCAGCGAGAGCTGGAGGGCCCTCCCTCCTCCTCGTCCCTCCTCTCCTCCTCCTCCTCCTCCTCCTCCTCCTCCTCCTCCTCCTCCTCCTCCTCCTCCTCCTCCTCCTCCTCCTCCTCCTCCTCCTCCTCCTCCTCCTCCTCCTCCTCCCCGGGCCCCCGACCCGTCACCCCTCCCGCTCGCTCGCGCTCGCTCTCTTTCTCTCTCTCTCTCTCTCTCTCTCTCTATCTCTTCCTGTGCAGTCTGCCCGTCCGCCTCCCCGTGCCGCACTGAAGGGGCCCCAGGACACACAAAGAAATACACACAAGTAAAAAGATTCCCCATATCTTCTCATATGTTCTGGGTTTCTGACACCCCCCCCACACTTCCCATATTTTCCTATATTTTCTAAGGAATCGAGGATCAATTGTGTCTGTGTGTGTGTTTTTCCTCCCCTGACTCACACGTGCCAAGGCCACATGCAGCCCTCGTGGTGGGGCGTGGCCTCGCGGCGCACCGGTCCTGCGCCCGCCCTGCGCACGGACTAGACTCGGCTTCCAGAAGCGTGGCGCACGCACAGGCGGCCAGGCTCCCGCAGTGGCTCTCTCTCTCTCTCTCTGTTGTTTTTTGGAGCGGACCGCAAGATTCAAGAACCACTGCCGTAACAGGAAAGCCGGTTGCATTTGAAAGCCGTTTCCTTCCTCACCAAGAATGTGGAAACGGACGCAGGAAACGACAAGGCAAACAACACGGGTCCTCGGGGTCCTCGGGGCGATCCCGAGGGTGGCACGACCGGAGGCCCGCACCGCGAAGGGGCCCGTGCGGGCATTCGCTGGAGGGGGCGCGGCGCGAAGCCACTGGTCGGTGTGGGAGGGGCCACGAGGCGCGGCCAGCGCTGGCGGAACGAGCTCCCCGCTGGCCAGGAACGACGGAGGGGGGGGGCCAGACACGGCGCCGAGGATCGCACTGCCCTCCTGGCCCTCCTCTGCCTCAGCCTGGCCCCACTCGAGGGGCCCAAGGACACACAAATAAATACACACAGATAACGAGATTCCCCATATCTTCCCATATGTTCTGGGTTTTTGTCGTCCCCCCCACCTCCCACATTTCCCATATGTTCTGGGGAATCGACGATGAATTGTGTCTGTGTGTTTTTTCCCCCCCTGACCCACGCCATCCACCATCCGTCCCTGGCCCTCCATGCGTCCCCTTCCCTTCCCGGATCTCTCTCCCGCCCCTTCCCCTCCCACTGTTTGCCTCGGCGGCTGGGCAGAGGTTCCTGCTCTGGCGGTCGGGCACAACTGGGGCGCGCTAGATGCAACTTGGGCCGCAGGGCACGGTGGAAAGGGGGGAGGACGCCCGGCGCAGGCGGGAATTTGGACGCCCGAAATGGGTACGGAAAAAATGGGTACAATGCCCAACATCAAATGTTGTCCCAAACCAACAGCGGCCGCTGTTGGACAGGCGGGCGGCCTTCTGTCTCGAATGGACACAGGCCGCGGCGGCGTGGACAGCGAGTCCTGTTCAAAATGAACCAGATCCGCTGTTGGGCATTGTACCGTTTCTTTCCGTACCCATATTGTTCGTGCAGAAAAAAGAAAGGAAGTCGGGCCCATAGTGTTCGTGCAGAGGGAAGAGAGGAAGTCGGGCCCGCTCGGGCAAGTCCCGGCAGCGGGCAGATCGGCAAGTCGGGCAAGTTCCCCTCCCGCAGCGAGGTGGCCCAGAGGTGGCCCAGAGGTGGCCCAGGAGGTGGCTCGCAGGCCCCTCCCTGGTACCCCTGGGGAAAAAGGGCGTTACCCCCTCCCCCAGTAGGGGGGAGCGGGTAGTACCCGCTGACTTCTGGTCCCAACTTCGCCACCCGCCGGTTGTCAAGTCTTTCCCTCGCCTCGAAGATCGAAAACGCCGATGCGCAAACATTGCAACCAAGCAATGCTCGGGGCCCGTTCTAGCCTCCAAGACGTCCAGCGTCAGCTGCCCCACGACAAGACGGCCTAGAAAGGGCTCCAAGAAGGCTCAAGAGGCAGCATGGAGGCCTCCAAGGCACGCCGCGAGGCACACGAGAGGCGCCCAAGAGGCGCTCCAGAAGGTCAAACAGGCCTTTCAGACAGGCCGGAGGCTTCCGAAAGCTCCCGCTGACGGTCTGAAGGGCCTCGCCTCTAAGAGATCCCCTCACGTCCCGTCCCAAGAAGCCCCTGAAACACCAGGAGACAACGACGAAGCTACTAAGAGGCTTCCAAGAAGCGGTGTCGTCGCGTCCCAGAAGACCCCGAGAGGAAGTCGCATCCCCGCGAGGTTCCTGAAACTGCATGATAAGCCCCTCACAAGATGACCGAGAAGGGCCCCAAGAGGCTGGGAAGAGCAGTCGCTGCTCTCCTCGTGGCTTCGCTCTTTGACCCGCTCCTCCCGCTCACGTTCCCCTCGCTCTTCCCACCAATGCTCGATCACGACAACCAGGTCGCGTCATCCGCCAACGCCCGTGCGCGTTAGCGGAGTGCTGGAATGCTCGTTGGCTGTCTGGTAAGGCTTCTGCAGTTGCCCTCCAAGCTCCAACCCTTCACACATTCCCAGAAGACCGCACCCGCCCCCCCCCCCAAGAGTACTCCGAGACGCCCATTCCGGCCTCCACACAGCTCGAAGACGACCAAAAATCGCTCCAGGACGGGCTGCAAGATGCTCAGAGAACCAGCCCGGGGCGGCCCAGCGACAGTTCAAAGGTTCTAAGATGTGCCCAATGCGCCCCAAGAAATCCCAAATAAGAAATCACGGAGCGCACAATGAGGCCTTGCTCCAGGCCCACGTAGAATGTGAATGCTTGCTTTGCCTCAGGTGCTCTCCAACTTCACATCGGATTGAGAGACATCAGAAAACCAAAGACGGCCACAACAATGGCCCTGAGAGTGCCCTAAGACCAGCCCAGGCGCCCCCAAGAAGGTCGTGCCGAGCCTCGTCCGAAGAGGTCGGCAGCGCTTCTGCATCCAAAGCAGCTTCGGGACCCCCGAGGGGGCTCCCAACGGGCAGCACACAAGCCCTGAGAAAAGCCCTCAAGCGACACAACAACAAGGGAAAAGGTAAGGGCAGAACGAGGCTGCGCACCAGGATGAAACATCTGAGACCCGCACTAGCTCAGACAGGGAAACGAACTGGAACGGGTCGTACAGTCAACCCGCACAGTAAGGATGAGCAACCTTCCCGAGGGTACCCTCGCATCCTTGCCCGTTCGGCCCATGCCTAGCGGCTTTCGCTGCCCAACCTTGTCCGAAAAACGTTCACGTGGGCCTCCAAGGCCCTTGCAACCTGACCGCGCATCCTTCTGACACTGGTTGCCTGTAAGCTCAAATAGACTCCTGATGCGCTGCTGCTCTGGTGTACTGTGGTGGGGTGGCGGGGCTTGGCGGAGAACATTGCATCAAACCATACCAGGCGAGACCACCAGAAACGACCAGCACAGACAAACCACTAACGAGTAGACCAAACCAAACCTGAGGAGGGTACGCCATCCACCTGTCCGGATGTCTGCCCACTCATCCACCCATCCCACACGGAGTGCGAATACACAATTGGGTGGCAAAGGGGGGCAACTATGAAGAGGCGGAGGAAAAAGAGAAAAAAGGAGAATGAGGGAGATGAAGGCAGGAATACAAGAAAACACGGAGGGTTCTGGTGAAGGGTAAGCCTGAGTGGCTGAAGAATACGAAACCGAATTGAAAGGATCAACGACGATGATGAAAAACAATGTTCGTAAGCGCATATTTTACCTCAACATCCGCAAATGATGAGAATATAGACCGTATCAAACAAAACCATCAACACCAAATCGGCACAAATGAGGACCCGGTCAAACTAAGTTAGACTGGGAGCAGACAGGTTACACCAGGGAAATCAATTGCGAACCAGCTTATAACTATACACAACCATCGCACCCGTAAGCACCGGGAAAGAAACGAGATGGCATATACAGAGTTGCGCTTACTCGGTACCTCGTCCGCCGCTAAGGTAAAATATCACCTTCAACGGCCTCCGATTGCAGAATCCCATGTCTATGGTCTCTGGGCCGCTCGGCCAGTCTTACATCCCGTGCAACCCTTCTGAGCAATCGGGAGGGAGAGAAGGGCGAGCAGGCAGGACGAGGACGGAGATTGCTAGGCGACGCCGAGTAACAAAGCGCAGAAGGAAAGAGACTGGCGCCCATGCATCGAACATGCAGCCCCAATTGGTGGCGATCAGCGTTCTGAACTCATCAAACTCACCGACCGTGATGACCGTGTGGCGCCCCATGTTGTGAAGCTGGATGTGCAGCAGCGCAACGTCCTCGAAGTAAATGGCAGCTAAGAACACCATTATGCACATGAGGACGAGCGCCCACACCAGGGAGCTGAGACACGCCATGATCGAAACCGCCACCACCCTGCTGAGTATGGTGCCCACGCGGCTCTGGCCAGCAGGATACTTACACGGATGGGAGAAGGGGGAGCAGGGAAGGACGGGGAAGAGAAGAAGGGGCAGGATAGGCAACCGTATGTGAGCCCCACCCCTGCAGGCCGTGTCTGTGAAACATCTTGGGTTCAGCGTTGTAAGGATGTCTGCAGCCAAGTGAACCCCAGCGGGGCTGTCCGATGCCCCACAATCGATTGGACCCGCAGGGGCCGACCACATCCCTATCCGCCGACTCCTGGGCTCCTGGGGTCGTGGGGCAGCCATTCCCCAGGCGAAGGATCTATACATAGATCCATATATATATACACACACAAAATGTGAAAGACCGTGATCCACCGCCGCTTCAGTGGAAAATTCCCCCCCACCTTCCTCCGGAACCCGGGCGTCCCCCCCCTCCGAAAATCCCCCCCACTGCTGGACACCCCCCCCCCTTCCCCTGGCAAAGCCCCCCCCTCCCCTGACCCCCCCCCCCTCCGGAAAACCGGGGGGGGTCACCGTTTCGAGCCCCCCCCCTCCGGAAAACCGGGGGGGTTCACTACGGGTTCGAACCCCTACCCCCCCCCCCCAGAAAACCAAAGGGGGGTCACTACTGGTTCGAACCCCTCCCCCCCCCCCAAAAAAAAACCGGGGGGGGGGCACTAAGTTCGAACCCCCCCTCCCCCCCCCCCGTCCAGAAAACTGGGAGGGGTCACTACCGGTTCGAACCCCTCCCCCCCCCACGCTCACCGCCACGACTCCCGGGTCCGTACCACCGTCCGCACCACATCCCCCACTGCTGTCCCCAGCACCACTGTCCTCACCACCACTGTCCAACTGTCCCCACCACTGTCCCCACTGTACCTCTGTCCCATTGTCCCAACGCCATCCTCGCCACCACCCTCACCACTGTCCCCACCACCACTGTACCCTCCACTGTCCCACTGACTGTCCCCACACCACTGTCCCCACCACCACTGTCCCCACCACTGTCCCACTGTCCCAACCGTTCCCACCACCGTCCCCACTGTCCCCACCAGTGCCCCCACCACTGTCGCACTGTCCCCACCATTGTCCCACCACTGTTCCCACCACGGTTCCATTCTCCCCACTTTCTCCATGGTCCCAACCACTGTCCCACTGTCCCCACTGTCCCACTGTCCCACTGTCCCCGCCGCTGTTCCACTGAGCTGTCCCACTGTTCCCACCACTGTCCCCACTGTCCCCACCACTGTCCCCACTGTACCTCTGTCCCATTGTCCCACCGCCGTCCTCACCACCGCCCTCACCACTGTCCCCACCACCACTGTACCCTCCACTGTCCCACTGTTTCCACCACATTCCCACTGTCCCCACACCACTGTCCCAACCACCACCGTCCCCACCACTGTCCCCCTGTCCCCACTGTTCCCACCATTGTCCCCGCTGTCCCCACCAGTGCCCCCACCACTGTCGCACTGTCCCCACTCTCCCCACCATTGTCCCACCACGGTCCCACTCTCCCCACTTTGCCAACGGCCCCCACCATTGTCCTACTGTCCCCAATGTACCCACCACTGTCCTTCTGTCCCCGCCGCTGTCCCACTGAGCTGTCCCACCGTCCCCACTGTCCCCATCACTGTCCCACTGTCCCCACTGTCCCCACCACTTTCCCCACTGTACTACTGTCCCACCACTGTCATCACCACCGCCTTCACCACTGTCCCCACCACCACCGTCCCCACCACTGTCCCACTGTCCCCACCACTGTCCCGCTGTCTCCTCACCACTGTCCCCACCACCACCGTCCCCACCACTGTCCCACTGTCCCCGCACCACTGTCCCCACCACCACCGTTCCCGCCACTGTCCCAGCATCCCCACCATTGTCCAACTGTCCCGAAGAGCGGGAATCGTTTGCTGGCGGCGAGGGGGGGAAAGGGGTGTTCGAACCGGCAGTGACCCCCCCCAGTTTTCGAGGGGGGGGTCGAACCGGTAGTGACCCCCCCTTTTCATGATGGACTGGGGGGGAGGTGTTCGAACCCGCAGTGACCCCCCCCCCCGGTTTTCGAGGGGGGGGGACGGGTTGGGAACCCCCAGTGACCCCCCCCGGTGTTCCGCCAGCAGCAGCAGAACACGCTCTCTCAAAGATGCACACATGTATACAATCACGTATGTCAACCACGTCCTGGGAAGAGGAACGTGTTCGTTCACCGTTCACCGTCGCGCTGAAATCAGAATGACCGCACCAGCAAGCAGACCTCTGGGCAGCGACGACAACAAGGCTCGCTCACGTTCTCCAGGTCGGGGAGCGCGCACGCCTCACGAACATGGGCATCCGCAGGGGGGCACGAGCCATGAGGGAAGCGGGTCCTGGACCCCAGGACCTCTCCCAGGACCAGGTTTGACGGGTCCTGAGTCGTCTTCTGCCAGACCTGAGGGCCGTGGGGGGCCCTGGACGAGTCAACGACGGCGGCAGACCTCAGGATGCGTGTCCCTCAGGACTCGTTTCCCCCCTGGCGAAGCTGAACCAGCGGGCGTGGAAGGTGCCTCGGGCGCCGCAGCCGTCGCAGAGCGTTCTGGAACGCTCGGATCGCTCTGAGAGCGTTCCAGAACGCTTTTGCGGAAACCAACAAATACCGACACCGCTACTCGATGGACCTCTCCCGGGGTGCGTTCTGACCCGAATCCAAGCGAATCCAGCGGTGCCGACGAGGGCCTCCCGGAGGGCCCGAAAGGGGGAAATCGAGGCAAGGGTAACGGTATGGGGGCCATCTCCTCCTCAGAGCTGCGAAACGGATACATCTCGATTCTAAGCCCGTCCGACAAAGAGCAGCACGGGGGACAAACGGACGGACCGACGACGGAATCGTCCGGTAGGGACGGCCCTCTGAGAGCCTAGGGCTCCCAACTTCGCGCTTCGCGCTGCGCGAAGCGCGAAGCGCGAATAACTTCGCGCTCTCGCGCCGCCCTCCCAAAGGGAGAATAGGAGGACGAGGAGGAGGGGGAGAAGGAACGAGGACCGCGAAGCGCGAAGCGCGAATAACTTCGCGCCCTCGAGGGAGCCCTTGAAGCCTGTCCGACAAAGAGCAGCACGGGGGACAAACGGACGGACCAACGCCGGAATCGCCCCGTGGGGACGGCCCTCTGAGAGCTCGGCGGGGACGCCAGGGCGCCAAACACTCTGTGCATGCGTCTCCTGCCCTTCGGCGCGACGGGGCGTCGCCGACAGACACAGGGCAGACGCGAAAAGCAAGACGGCACGAACAGAACGGAAACGAAGACCCATGAATCACATCAGCACTCGAGCAGCAGGGGGGGAAGTAGGAATAAGAGGCCCCCCAGAGGCACCAGGAGACCCCCAAGAGGCCCCGATGACGCCCCGAGAAGCCCCAAAACGGCCCCCAAGAAGCCTCAAAGTGGCCCCCAGAATGCACCCGAGAGGCCTCCCGCGACATCCATCCCTACGAACATCCTACAGGCCTATGACCCACGACCCAGGCACGACGGCGGTATGGGCCGAAGGCCATTAGATATATTACTCACTGCGTGGAGCTCCCCATATGTGCATCTCATGTTTTATGTCATGCCGTAGTGAACGTCTGTTCATGAGCGTCCTACCCCTTGGCAGCTCCCCTCAGGGGTGCTGAAACCAGCGCCCCGCCTGAGATATCCTCAGAATATGCTCTGAAATCAAAGGATGTTGGGCATGGAAACGAGCAAACCACCTGAGATATCCCCACGAACTGGCCGCGAACGGGCCCGTGAGAACACCAGCGCCCCGCCTGAGGCATCCTCACAATCTGCTCTGAAAGCAAAGGATGTGGGGCATGAAAACGAGCAAACCGCCGGAGATATCCCCACAAACTGGCCGCGAACGGGCCCGTGAGGATACCCCTGGCGGCTCCCCTTAGGGGTGCTGAAGCCAGCGCCCCGCCTGAGACCTCCTCAAAATCTGCAGTGCGTTGAGTAACTCAGGCTATGAGAAGGTCTACGTATTTGTAGGTCTGAATATGAGTAAGTCTGTATATGAGTACGTCTGGGTATGAGTAAGTCAGAGTACGAGTAAGTCTGTGTATGAATAAGTATGTGTATGCGTACGTCTGGGTACGAGTAGGTCTGAGGATGAGTAAGTATGTGTATGAGTAAGTCCGAGTATGAGTAAGTATGTGTATGAGTAAGTCTGGGTATGAGTAAGTCTGAGAATGAGTAAGTCTGTGTATGAGTACGTCTGGGTATGAGTAAGTCTGAGTATGAGTAGGTCTGTGCATGAGTAAGTCTGTGTTCAGTCGGCGGCGTCCAAGAAATAATTACCCACTGCGTGGAGCTCCCCATATGTGCATCTCATGTTTGGTGTCATGCCATAGCGAACGTCTGCTCATATGCGTCCTACCCCCTGGCGGCTCCCCTCGGGGGTGCTGAAACCAGCGCCCCGCCTGAAACATCCTCACGATCTGCCTTGGAAGCAAAGGATGTTGGGCATGGAAACGAGCAAACCACCTGAGATATCCCCACGAACTGGCCGCGAACGGGCCCGTGAGAACACCCCTGGCGGCTCCCCTTACGGGTGCTGAAACCAGCGCCCCGCCTGGGGCATCCTCACAATCTGCTTTGAAAGCAAAGGATGCGGGGCATGGAAACGAGCTAACCACCTGAGACATCCCCACAAACTGGCCGCGAACGGGCCCGTGAAAACACCCCTGGCGGCTCCTTTCAGGGATGCTGAAACCAGCGCCCCGCCTGAGGCATCCTCACTATCTGCTCTGAAAGCAAAGGATGTGGGGCATGAAAACGAGCAAACCGCCGGAGATATCCCCACGAACTCGCCCGGGCCCGTGAAAACACCCCTGGCGGCTCCCCTTAGGGGTGCTGAAACCAGCGCCCCGCCTCGGGCATCCTCACAATCTGCTCTGAAAGCAAAGGATGTTGGGCATGAATACGAGCAAACCGCCTGAAACATCCCCACAAACTGGCCGCGAACGGGCCCGTGAGAACACCCCTGGCGGCTCCCCTTAGGGGTGCTGAAACCAGCGCCCCGCCTGAGGCCTCCTCACGATCTGCTCTGCAAGCAAAAGATTGTGACCATGAATACGAGCAAACCGTTTGAGACATCCCCACAAACTGGCCGCAAACGGGCCCGTGAAAACACCCCTGGCGGTTCCGCTTAGGGGTGCTGAAACCAGCGCCCCGCCTGAGACATCCTCACAACCTGCTTTGAAAACAAAGGACGTTGAGCATGAAAACGAACAAACCGCCTGAGACATCCCCACAAACTGGCCGCGAAGGGGCCCGTGAAAACACCCCTGGCGGCTCCCATTAGGGGTGCTGAAACCAGCGCCCCACCTGAGACATCCTCACACTCTGCTCTGAAAGCAAAGGGATGTGGGGCATGAAAACGAACAAACCGCCTGAGGCATCTTCACAAACTGGCCGCGAACGGGCCCGTGATAACACCCCTGGCGGCTCCCCTTAGGGGTGCTGAAGCCAGCGCCCCGCCTGAGACCTCCTCAAAATCTGCCGTGCGTTGAGTAAGTCACACTATGAGAAGGTCTACGTATGTGTAGGTCTGAATATGAGTAAGTCTGTATATGAGTACGTATGGGTATGAGTAACTATGAGTATGAGTAAGTCTGTGTATGAGTAAGTATGTGTATGAATAAGTCTGTGTAAATGTTCGTCAGGGCACGCATAAATCTGAGTATAAGTAGGTCCGAGTATGAGGAAGCCTGAGTATGAGTAAGTCTGTGTATGCGTAAGTCTGAGTATGAGTAAGTCTGGTATGAGTAAGTATGTGTATGAGTACGTATGGGTATGAGTACGTATGAGTATGAGTAAGTTTGTGCATGAGTAAGTCTGTGTTCTGGGTGTTTTCGTGTTCCCTGGAGTCGGCGGCGTCCAAAAAAAAACAAAAACCCCATCTTAGGATATGGGGAGCTAGAACGCCATCTTAGGATATGGAAAAAAACAACACTTGACCAGCAGCAGGGGGCGACACCAGCACCGGCGCGAAGCGCCGTGGTGGGGGTCCTACTGGTGGTGCGACCCCCGCCCCTCGCTGGAGACATCCCGCGTCCCCAGCTGCCAAAGGCGCCATGGACCCCAGCCGCTGGAGGTGGCCCCCTTGGCGGTGGCGGTGTCGCCTCTCCTTCATCCAACGAAAAAGAAAAAGGAGGAGGAGGAGGTGGGGGAGGGGGAGGCGGAGGAGGAGGAGGAGGAAGAGGAGGAGGAGGAGGAGGAGAAGGAGGAGGAGGAGGAGCATATCCACGCCGTCGCGGTCTGGACTCCAAGGCGAGATGCCGCGGATACGCTGTCGCACGGTTACGTTCCGCGCGGGGCATCTGCTGAAACACACCCCGTATCAAGGGAGTCGCGGCCGAGGGGCACGGCCCGCGAGGCCGGGGACATGGCGATGGCTCCTGCCCACGAAAGAGGAATACGTTTTCATGTGCGACCCCCTGGGGGCAGACCCGATCAGCGCTCGGGCTTCGGGCTGTCACGTGCCTGAGGTGAACAGTAGACCAGACCCTGCCCCTGACTGGGGGTTCAGGGTCGGGCAGGGCGCGCGCGCACGCGTGCTGCACGTGTGCTGCGCACAAACGTCATGCAGACCGATCGAGGACATAACGCAGGCCCTTACATGTCGATCGAGAGCAGCTTCAGTGACATGTCGCACCCATCGTGTGCCACACGACCCTCTGGCCTAACAGAGCCGTCCGAAGGTCGCGTCCCTACGATAAAGCCCTTGTCGAGAATCCAATGGGTCACATCCTGGATCACGCGTGCGTGCTCCCGGCGCTGGGCCTGCGTCTGGATGCTATCTTCGGTCTGCTCCACGCGCCAAACGATGAGGTCGCCTTCCGTGACCTCCACGCCGACCTCCCGCTATCGTGCCAAGTGCCAGACTAGCGAGTGGCCAAGCAGACCGATCTCAACATCACGCGGGGAGATCGAGCACCAGCGACTCCACGAACACTAGAGGCTGGTCAACAGTCTGCTCAACGAATTGCGCATCAAATGTGTCCCCTGCGACGGCAGGCTGGGTCACCTCTACGTTCGCGGCCTCCACGTCGACCTTCACGACCTGGTTCACAGGGGCGGACGCGACCGCACCAGCAGCCTCCACGTCGACCTGATCCTCGGATTTGGGCTCGATCGTCGGCACCTCCACGAATACCACAAGGCTCCTCGAAAATCTGCTCATCGGATACGTTCCCAACGTCGGCGGGCTGGGCCATCTTCTCGACCGCGACCACGGTCCCCGCGTCGGCCTTCACCACGTGAGCCTCGGGGATGGTCGTGACCCCAAGCGCCTCCAAGAGGGCGGCCTCCCGCGTCCTCTCCGCAGCCTCGCCAGCGCAGCTGGGGGCGAAAGCAGCAGTCTCCGCGCGCCGCCGCATGCTCTTGTTACCAGCTTGGAACATATCCCTGTCCCTATGCTGGGCACCTCCTCATCACGATGCCAATCTTAGGGATTCCCTGATTTTTTGAGGGCGAATGATTGTCATCGCCTTTTGGCGTGTCAATCTTAGGGATAGGGATACGTTCGAGGCTGGTAATCTTGCCCGCGAGGACAAACTCGAACGCCCCAGCCTGCAGGCCATCGGGCAGCCGCGGACCGCCGCGGGCTGCCTCCGCTGGGCGGCGCATGCTGGGCCCCGCTGCCGAAGCGCAGCGCCTCGTCGGCTCGGCCTCCAACACCTCGTCGCACGGCAGCTGGTTACCAGCCTGGAACCTATCCTTATCCCAATGCTGGGCACCTCCTCATCACGATGCCAATCTTAGGGATTCCCTTATTTTTTGAAGGCGAATGATTGTCATCGCCTTTTGGCGTGTCAATCTTAGGGAGAGGGATACGTTCGAGGCTGGTAAACTGGAGGGTCCTGGCCGCCTGCACCGCCTCCCCCGTGCAGGGGCAGCGCACGCCCAGGTGGTCGCATGCTCGCCAGGGCGCCCCCAGCGAGGCACGGAGAGCTTTGCAGCGAGACAGCGATGCAGCTGCACGCGATACCCCGACCTCCTGCTGAACTTCACGGCGGCGTCGTCGCGCGAGCGTCCGCGCACTCGCCGCCTCCCATTGCGTGCCGCCTGAACCACTCGCGGCGGCCATGGCCGCTGGCGCGCCGCGACGCGGCAGCCGCGGGGCGTGTGAGGGCCTCACGAAGCGAGGCTCCCTTGAGCTCAAATGGCTACGGGCGAAGGAGGAGGAGGACGACGAGGAGGGGAGCGACGAGGACAGAGCAGGAGGAGGAGGCCCTAGGAGCCGAGCGCGGGCACCGCTCCAATATCCCGGCTTGGGGGAACGAGGGAGCAAGGCAAGGCAGGAAGGAAACCGGCTGGGAGCAGGTTTCTACGAGGGCGCTACCTACACAGCTACACTGATCATGGCAAGGTCCATCTGAAGAGACCTCCCTATAGATCGGATGGGTTCGGAGGATCGCTCCATATCGCCGATGCGATGCCGATGCATCGGCGATGCATCGGTCGATACATCGGCGACGTCGGCTTGGAGAAAACCGACCTCCGCATCGCGCCGTATCGCCGATGCATCGGCGATAAGACGCCATACTCCGACCCCGTCGACCCGGACAAAGCTGGGAGGCCTAGAAGCTGGGGCTCCAGAGTGTAGGCACCCTGACATGTCCAAGAAGGTATACACAGCAAGGCATGGTCAGGGAGGCAAATACACACCAACCGTAGATTTAGGTCGGGCCTGTCCACCTACAGGGGGATTTTGTACGAGAAATCCAAAATACCTATACGACCACCCTTCGGGTGATAAGGAGGTTCGGGGGGGAGGAACCAACGTCTCACTCGATTGGTCTCACTATCGATCTCACTATCGATCTCACTATCGGTATCGCTCGATCGATCCAACTCGATCGATCTCACCATGGATATCACTCGATATATTTCTTTCGATCGCTCTCACAATCGATCTGACTATCGATCAAACAATCGATCTGACTATCGATCTCACTGTCGATCTCACAATTAATCTCACATTCGGTCTAACTATCGATCCCACTATCGATATCACAATCGAAATCACAATCAACGTCATCATCATCATCATCATCATCATCATCATCATCATCATCATCATCATCATCAACATCATCGTCATCAACGTCATCAACATCATCATCAGCATCATCGGGAAACAATCATTATCATGATCACCTCATCACCATCATCACCTCATCACCATCATCATCAACATCATCATCATCACCATCATCATCATCATCATCATCATCATCATCATCATCATCATCATCATCATCATCATCGGGACACCATCATCGTCATCATCATCGGTGCACCATCATCATCAGCAGCAACATCACCATCAACATCATCATCGGGGCACCATCATCATCATCATCATCAGCATCATCATCATCATCATCATCATCGTCAACATCATCATCATCATCAGCATCATAATCAACACCATCATCATCATCAGCATCATCATCATCATCATCATCATCATCATCATCATCATCATCATCATCATCATCATCATCATCGGGGCACCATCATTATCACCACCATCACCATCACCATCACCATCATCGTCATCATCATCAGCATATTCATCATCATCATAATCATCGTCAACATCGTCAACATCGTCAACATCATCAACATCATCAACATCATCATCATCATCATCATCATCACCATCACCATCACCATCACCATCACAATCACCATCACCATCATCATCATCATCATCATCATCATCATCATCATCATCATCATCATCATCATCATCATCATCATCATCATCATCATCATCATCATCATCATCATCATCATCATCATCATCATCATCATCATCATCATCATCATCATCATCATCATCATCATCATCATCATCATCATCATCATCATCATCATCATCATCATCATCATCATCATCGGGACACCGACGGGACACCGGCGGGACACCGCGCGCCACCTGCCCCCGAGCGGGACACCGGCGGGACACCGCGGGGCACCGGCCGCCCGGTCAAGGTTCTTTTGCTCCGGCCGCGCCTCAACTACAGGAGGCTTATTTCTCGCCCGCCCACGCAGCTTCGCCTCGCCCGCCCGCACGGCACGCACGAACACGAAACCGAAACCGATTTCCCGGTAGGGGGGCTCTCCGTTCCACTTCGAGCTCACCCCCTCACCTCCGACTAAAAAAGACAACAAAATAATTAAAAAATACTTCAAAAATCGTCCCTTGAATAGTTTGACTATGTTTGAATATTCCTTCTGTCGAGGGACACGTCCGACTTAACCGTAGGTCCAAGATCGGCCTGGCCAGGATCGGTGGCGGCGTGCATAGTCGTCGCTCCCCACGGAAGGTTTCGGAGCGAGGCGGCCGCAGCGGAAGCCCGCGAATAGAGTATCACGCGGAGCCGCCGGAAGGGCTTCAGCATGCGGACCATGTGCAGGGCGCGGAAGCAGCGGAGGATGCGCACGACCCGGAACTGGTCGTTTGCCTCCGCGGGAAGCACCGTGTCCCCCCGCCCCGGCTGCGGGCTCCCTGCTCTCGGCCCGGGTCGGATGAAGGGAGGAGGGGGGCAGAGAAAGTGCGGGGCAACGAACTGGCTCACGTATCGGGTGTTGCTAGAAGTACCCCTGGCCCAAGGTATCCCTAGGATTTCCAAGGAGGCCCCCACGGCCTCCAGAGCACCCCTCACAAGGCCCAGAGGGCCCCCCGGGGCTCCAACATTGAGCAAAAAGCTGGGGCACCTTTGGCCAGGGGCACCTTTAGCAACCCCCGAGAGTAGCTGATTTTCCTGGCACCTCCCGGCGCTGGAGGTGCCTGGGTGTGCTTCGCGGCTTTCGATCCCAGCAGGACAAGCGTTGACGATGTCCACGATAGTGAGAATCAGAATGACACCAGTGAAGTCTTTCCCAATCATCCTGTGGTGTTGGGTCCTCGTTTTGAAGAGACAGCGCCCCGAGTCTCCTCTCCTCTCCTCATTCCTCCCCCCTTTCCTCTCTCCACCATTTCAGCGCAGACAGTACAGCGCTTCGTGGCCCCATAGGGAACCCCACCGAAGGCCCCAGTGGCTGTAATCGCATGCGTCCCGCGCCACCCAGGACGGAGTCTCGTGGCCCCAAAGGGAGCTCCTCCGAAGACCCCAGTGGCTGTGATCACATGCGTCCCGCGCCACACAGCACGGCCTCAGGCTCATGTCCAGCCCAACATTCATGAGATTGGCCTTTCAGGGGTCGCACTGGATCCACCAGATTGGGGGTCCGTCAAGCTGATGGCGAAAAAGGACCACTGCTTGCAAACGAATCTGCGCTTCGTCCGACGCGGCTTCGTCCAAAAATGCCTTCAACATCCCCATCCAGCTTCTGACAGCCAGCTCCCACTCGCGTGATGCCCCGACCCCTGGCGGAGGTAGCCAGCGGGACGCGCGGGACGCGCGAGGAGCGACAAGCAAGGAGGGAGGAGGGAGGAGGGAGGAGGGAGGAGAGAGGAGTAGGAGGAGGAGGAGGAGGAGGAGGAGGAGGAGGAGGAGGAGGAGGAGGCGGAGGCGGAGGCGGAGAGGAGGAGGAGGAGGAGAGGAGGAGGAGGAGGAGGGAGGAGGGAGGGGAGGAGGGAGGAGGGGAGGGAGGAGGGAGGAGGAGGAGGAGAAGCAGGGAGGAGGAGGAGGAGGAGGAGGAGGAGGAGGAGGAGGAGGAGGAGGAGGAGGAGGGAGGATGAGGAGGAGCAGGAGAAAAAGGAGGAGGAGGAGGAGGATGAAGAAGCGAGCGAGAGAGCACCGAGGAAGCGAGCGCGGCGGGAGCTCCCATAACAGCCTCAAGCCCTCGAACCTCCCCCGCCTGCGCCCTGCGCCTGCCCGCGAGGGGTCACCGACCCTGCCCTCGACCTAATCTCGAACCTCCACGCTCGACCCTCGAGCCTCGACACCCTCCTCCTCGATCGATCCTCGAGCCTCGATCCCGAGCCTCGACCCCTCGACCCTCCCCCTCGATCGGCCCTCGAGCCTCGATCCTGAGCCTCGATCCTCGATCGATCCTCGGCCACGACCGATCCTCGGCTTACATAGTCCCCGTCGTACTGAAGGACCAAGCCCCACAAATGATTTCGAGCACCCAGAAAAGTATCGAAACAGTGTCGAACGAGTATCGTCTCCCAGAGCCCGACACGCGAAAACCCGCCAGTTTCGGGTCGTTCTTGGTGCTCGAAATTCCGTCTGGTGATTCAGGCTGAAGTAAATTGGAATATCATCATCCTCGGCCCTCGCCCCCCCCACCCCACCCCGCGCGGGTCACCGACAGGTCCGACGACCTCATGTCCCACAGCATGTAGTGCACGGACGTCGCTGGGGCGGCGGGGAGGCTCGCGTCTCGCGGGGCTCGGGGTTCGCGGACCTGGCAGGAAGAAAAACTTCACAGCCATACACCTTTTGGCGCTCCGCGCGGATTCCTTGGATCTGCGCCGGACCCCGTTCCCTGGCGCGCGGAGCGCGCCAGGGGCGGCGCCAGAGGCGCCGCCCGGGGGGGCGGCGCGTAAAAAAAATACTCGAAAACTACCCCCGTAATGCTCAAAAACTGTCAAGAGATCGTCCCCAGACTATCTTTTGACTATCTTTGAAGATTCCCCCTGTAGAGGGACAGGCCCGTCCTCAGGGCAGCGGCACTGGTGCCTGTGCCTCCTCCGAGAGGTCGACCCTCGGACCCGGGCAGAGCAACGCGGGAGTCACCACGGCCGCGTGTTCGCCGCTGCGTCGGCCTCTGGAGAGGCCGCGCCCGGGCCCCCGCCGGGCCGTCGGAGAGCGGTCCAGAGGATGGAAGAAGCGCTAGTGGAAGGGGCCCTGGGGCACACAGCAGTCACAAATAACAGGATTCCCATACTTTCCATATTTTCGGGGGTTTTGTCTTTCCCCCCACTTCCCGTAGTTTCCCATCTTTCCTGGGGAATCGACGATGAATTGTGTCTGTGTGTGTGTGTGTTTGTTCCCTCCCGCGCTAGGTCGGGCATCATGTCCCCCTACAGGCGGAGCTTGGACGAAAAAAAGAAAAAGATTCCAAACATGCTCCTAGAATATTCAAAGAAAGTCCAAACACAAAACAATTAGCCTGGCGAAGGACCCAACCATATGCAGCTGCGAGTACCGCACGGATATGAGACGAAGGAGGGGGCACGCAAACTAGGCCCCTCTTCTCATAGGCACCGCGCCACTGGGGCCTTCGGTGGAGCTCCCTATGGGGCCACGAAACGTGTGAAGGGTGTGCCGAAATGGGTGGTGGGGAGGCATGCGGACCCTGCCACTGGGGCCTTCGGTGGAGCTCCCTATGGGGCCACGAAACGTGTGAGGGGTGTGCCGAAATGGGTGGTGGGGAGGCATGCGAACGCAGCCACTGGGGCCTTCGGTGGAGCTCCCTATGGGGCCACGAAACGTGTGAGGGGTGTGCCGAAATGGGTGGTGGGGAGCCACTGGGGCCTTCGGTGGAGCTCCCTATGGGGCCACGAACGTGTGAGGGGTGTGCCGAAATGGGTGGTGGGGAGGCATGCGAACGCAGCCACTGGGGCCTTCGGTGGAGCTCCCTATGGGGCCACGAAACGTGTGAGGGGTGTGCCGAAATGGGTGGTGGGGAGGCATGCGAACGCTGCCACTGGGGCCTTCGGTGGAGCTCCCTATGGGGCCACGAAACGTGTGAGGGGTGTGCCGAAATGGTGGTGGGGAGGCATGCGAACGCAGCCACTGGGGCCTTCGGTGGAGCTCCCTATGGGGCCACGAAACGTGTGAGGGGTGTGCCGAAATGGGTGGTGGGGAGGCATGCGAACGCAGCCACTGGGGCCTTCGGTGGAGCTCCCTATGGGGCCACGAAACGTGTGAGGGGTGTGCCGAAATGGGTGGTGGGGAGGCATGCGAACGCAGCCACTGGGGCCTTCGGTGGAGCTGCCTATGGGGCCACGAAACGTGTGAGGGGTGTGCCGAAATGGGTGGTGGGGAGGCATGCGAACGCAGGAGGGAGGAGGGCGAGGAGAAGGAGGAGGAGGAGAAGGAGAAGGAACGCGGGGACTGTTTCTTCAAAACGAGGACCCAACACCACAGGATGGTTGGGAAAAAAAGCGTCCCCTGACGATTGTTTGACGATGTTTGAGGATCCCCCCCTGCAGAGGGGCAGGCCCGACTCAAAACAAAGCGGCCCCCGGAGAAGCGGTCGAGGTGGCCCCGGGGGCCGACGCCGCGGCGAGGACTCGGACGCTGGCGGAGGGGGGGGGGGAGCTCGCGGTTCGACGGCGGAGGGCCGAAGATCGAGGGCCGAGGTCCAGGGGGCGAGGCTCAGAGAGGGAGGTTCAGGGATCGAGGCGAGGCTCAAGGATCGAGGCTCGAGACGCCGCGAGGAAGACTCGGACGTCGGCGGAAGGGGGGGAGCTCGAGGTTCGACAGCGGAGGGCCGAAGATCCAGGGTCGAGGTCCAGGGAGCGAGGCTCAGAGGTGGAGGTTCAGGGATCGAGGCTCGAGGTCCGAGGGAGCAGAAGAGCGGCCAGGGCCGCGCTGGGTTCCAGGTGAACTGTTTGAGGGCCACCAGGGCCGCCCGAGCACCGACCTGACCATCGGCCTTGGAACTGCCGTCTCAGGGCCAGAGTTCTTCAGGGCGGTACTCGGGCCTCGGGGGCATCACCTGAACAGGCTCGGCCAAACCAAACACTGACCGCCTTGTTAGTATCATCCCGAGGGGATGCCCGAGGATCGAGGCTCGAGAAACGAGACTCGAGGCTCGAGGTTCAGGGATCGAGCTTCACGAATCGAGATCCGAACATCGAGGCTCAAGGATCGAGGCTCGGGATTCGACGTTCGAAGACCGATGATCGAGGATCGAGCATCCAGCAAAGAGAACCGAGGACCGAGGACCGAGGCTCAGGAGTCGAGGCTCGAGCATCGAGGCCCGAGGATCTTGCGCGTCCTTGGCCCTCCCTGGGCATCTGGCCCGAGTGTTCGAGGATCGCGGCTTCAGGAGAGGAGGAGGAGGAGGAGGAGGAGGAGGAGGAGGAGGAGGAGAAGGAGGGGGGGGCGCTCGTGGGACAGGCAAGAGGAAAGGGAGGAGGAAGAGGAGCAGGGGCCTCGAGGGGTGGGAGGAGGGGCAGGGGGGAAACAGAGGAGGGGGAGGAGGAGGAGGAGGAGGAGGAGGAGGAGGAGGAGGAGGAGGAGGAGCAGAAGGGCGAGAAAGAAGTGGAGAGGCAGCAGGGCCTCAAGGCCTCCTGCCCTCCACGGCTGGAAGCAAGAACAGGCATCGATGCGGGCGCTCCCTGGACCTCCCCGCGGGGGCGCGTCCTGCACGGGACCTCCCAGCGGAACCGGCCGTGGCGACGAGGAGCGCGGGCGGTGAGGGCTCCTGGCAGCACTCCCGGCAGAGGCTCGGCACAGGGTCTGCTCCCTGCGGCCCGAGCCCGCAGCCCAAGCCTTCGCGAGCCTCGCGAGGCGCTGGGTCCGAGGACGCCAGCTGACCGCCCGAGCCCCGGGCCCAGGACCGGTGCACGTCTCTCTGGCCACGCCAGGAGGGCGCACACACCGACCCTGGCACAGGATGGGCCTTGCCAAGATCGGTGAAAAGTCGGGCAACCGCCGTTCCCGACTGAGCCGTTCTCCAGGTGCCCCCAAGCGGGGAGCCAGGAGGAAGGGGGGCTGCGCATCACGGCCCGAGGCACGTGCGCAGGCGAGTGGGGGGGGGGGGCATGGGATCTGGGAAACATGTGGTCCCGGCCATGATGCCCATCATACCCCCCCATTTGGCCCCACTTCCCACCCCCTCTTCGACGCCTGGTGATTTTCGGATCATACTCGCGCCTCTGGGGGCCATTCGGGACGATCCAGGCATCTTCGGAAAGATCTCGACGAGGCGCAGCTACTGGAAGGCATCCCGAGGCTGGAGAGCCGCCTAGAAACCGACGAAAACGCACGAAAACTTCCAACCTTCGTTGGTCCGCAGACCCCCCTCCTGGAGGGCCTCGATCTCTTCCTCTCCTCCTCAACCTCCTCATCCTTATGCTCCTCCTCCTGCCCGCATCCTCTTCCTCCTCCTCCTCCTCCTCCTCCTCCTCCTGCTCCTGCTCCTGCTCCTGCTCCTCCTCCTCCTCCTCGTCCTCCTCCCCCTCCTGCTCTCCTCCTCCTCCTCCTCCTCCTCCTCATCCTCCGCCTCCTCCTCCTTCTCCTCTGCCTCCTCTGCTTCGTCTGCCTCCTCTGCCTCCTCCTCCTCCTCCCTCCGCCTCCCTCCTCCTCCTCCTCCTCCTCATCCTCATCCTCCTCTTCCTCCTCTTCCTGCTCCTCCTCCTCCTCCTCCTCCTGCTCATTATTATGATTATTATTATTGTTCTGATGATTCGTATGATTGATGTTATTATTCGTCGTATTATGCGTATTCGTCTTATTATGCGTAGTCTTACTACTAGTTGTATTTTTGTTAGTAGTAGTTTTCGTAATATTACCATCAGTAGCATTAAGAATATCATTGTTATTCGTAGTCTTAGTCGTCTTGTTCTTGGTATTATGCTTCTTCGTATTACGATTAGTATTATTATTCGTATTAGTATGTATTCCTTGTTATTCTTAGTATTAGTATTCGTAGTGTTATTCTTGGTATTCCTAGTATTCTTATGAGTCGTCGTAATATTCGTCTTCTTCTTATGAATAATAGTAATATCAGTATTTGTAGTACTATTATTACTAGTAGTACCAGTATTAGTATCAAGATGTGTAGTATTATTAGTAGTAGTAATAGTATCCTTCTTCTTAGCCTTCTCCTCCTCCTCCTCCTCCTCTCCGCCTCCTCCCCCTCCTCCCCCTCCTCCCCCTACTCCCCCTCTCCTCCTCCTCCTCCTCCTCCCTCCTCCTCTCCTCTCCTCCTCCTCCTCCTCCTCTCCTCCTCCTCCTCCTACCTCCTCCTCCTCCTCCTCCTCCTCCTCCTCTCCTCCTCCTCCTCCTCCTCTTAGCCTTCATAGTATTGTTATTCGTTCTCTTGTTATTCTTATTATTACTATTCGTGTCCGTAGCGTTATGTTTGTTAGTATGAGTCTGAGTATTATTAGCATGAGCATGATTATAATGATTGGTATGCTTATTAGTAGTACCACGATTCTTATAATTACGATTACTAGTATAAATAGTCGCGTCGCTCTTCTTAGTCGTAGCAGTATTATTCTTTGTGGTATGATTAGTGCTAGTGCTCCTGATCCTGATCCTGCTCCTCCTCCTCCTCCTCCCCCTCCACATTTACACAATATGAAAATACTCTCCCACTTCCCCTGATGGCGTCCCGAAGATATCCGACACCCCCCCGCGTATTGTTTTTTACACACA